AAGAAAGGCACTGAAAATGTTGTTGCAGATCATTTGTGAAGATTGATAACAGATTTGAAATTTGACATCATACTAATTGATGACTGCTTTCTCGATGAATCTTTACTTTTTGTACAATGCCTTGGTTTGCTAATATTGTCAATTTTCTTGTTTCAGGACAATTGCCAGCTCATTGGAGTACCCAAGATAAAAGAAAGTTCTTGAACAAAGTGAAGAATTTTTATTGAGATAACTCTTATTTATTCAAATATTGTCCTGATCAAATATTTTGAAGATGCATTCCTGAAAATGAGGTAAGTAGTGTCATTAAATTTTATCATTTTGAAACATGTGGGGACCATTTCTCATCAATAAAGACAACTGCTAAAATCTTACAAAGTGGATTTTACTAGTCCACCATGTTCAAGGACTTACATGCATTTTGCAAAACTTGTGAGAATTGTCAAAAGTTGGGATCCATTTCAAAATGTCACATGATGCTTTTAAATCCTATTCTTGTCATTGAGATCTTTAGCTATTGGGATATAGATTTCATGGATCCATTTTCTCCATCATTTGATTTCTTGTACATATTAGTCGTAGTAGATTATATTTCAAAATAGATAGAGGCAATTCCAAGTTGAAACAATGATCACAAAACAGTGATAAAGTTTTTGAAAGAAAATATCTTGAGTCGATTTGGAATACCTCGAGCCACGATAAGTGATGGTGGAACACATTTTTGCAATAAGTCATTTGAGTCTTAAATGAAGAAATTTGAAATCACACACAAAGTTGCCACCCTTTATCACCTCAGACAAGTGGACAAGTAGAGCTTGCTAATAGGGAGATCAAACAAATTTTGGAGAAAACAGTGAACCCTAATAGGAAAGACTGATCTTTAAGACTTAATGATGGACTTTGAGCTTATCGAACTACTTATAAAACATTATTAGGTATGCCACCTTACATACTAGTTTATGGAAAACCTAGTCACTTGCTTGTGAAACTTGAACATAAAGCTTGTTGGGCTATTAAAGCTTTCAATTCAAACCTTGATGATGCTAGTCAGGTGTGAAAATTACAAATAAATAAGCTTGAGAAAATACAAAATGATGCATATGAAAATTCAAGAATTCACAAAGTAAGAAGTAAAGAGTTTCATGACAAGAAAATACTGAGAAAAACATTCAATATTGGTTAAAAAATCTTACTTTATAATTCTAGATTCCATTTATTTCTTGGAAAATTAAGATCAAAATAGAGCAATCCTTTTTATTATGAAACATGAGTATCCATATGGGACCTGTGATATCGAGAATCCAAAGAATGACAATGTTTTCAAGGTAAATGGGTATCGTTTGAAAGTTTACTTTGACAAGTTTTTAATTGAAAATGACAATTGAATTGGGTGATCCTGTATATAAAGATTGATTCTTTTCTCATATTTTTTTTGTGTGATTTTTTGTCTTGCTAGTTTCTCTCATCCTAGTCAAATGGTAGATAATAGTACTCTGTGACTTAAGTCGGTTCTTTCAGTTTCTCATGATAATTGATATTTGTGTATATATTTGTGCAATTCTTTGCTCTTCCCCTTTTCTTTGAATCTCTCCTCCAATTCTCATTTGAAAATAGAACCACTCTTGAAAAATTGAAAAAGTGTTTTCCTGCTCCGCCTCATAATGCAATTACAAAAATTTATTGTGCTAGATGTGCAAGATTGAGGTTGTTAATGAATCATGGAATTCCTGAAGATATTCGTTGGCTGATTGAAGCAAATGTCCAATTATCAGGTGAGTCATCTAATTCTTTCATTTCATACATGCTTGGAAAGGGTAAAAGCACTTTCGCAAAGAAACGTCGTGCAAAATGACTGTAAATCTGTCATAGATGTGCTAGATGGACTTGTAATGCAACATGTCGTTCTTTAGGAATGATAACTGTAAACCGTGAATATAAAATATAATTCATTAAGGATGGTCTAAGTAAGAGGTCTTTTGATAATCTTCTATTAACTCTTTAGACGCATCCTGGTGGAGATTTGCATCGTGCAATTCATGATTTATGACCCTATTTTTATAAATAACATGATCGACTTAGTCTTGGGAATCTAACTAAAAAAACCATGTTTGCTAGTTTTTAAGAAAACTAGATGGGAGGCCTATCCCTAACCTATAGAGGGTGTTTAAGCCTTTCTTGGACGTAAAACTAAGGGAAGATGTGAGCCACAATCACAACTACCTGTATATATACATGGTTTTCAAAAATAAATAAAGATAGAGAGAGTGTGTGTGAGAGACTTCAACTAGCCTACATATATGTGGTATGATTATCTTTTTAATTTCTCATCTATAAAATCCTCTATTCTTTCCTTTCATTTCTACTCAACCCATACATTCAACAAAGATAGAGGTGTGTAGAAATGGTAAGTTTCTCAGGTCATCACATAAGAAATGTTGGTGTTTTTAGTGGATCTAGTCCTAGGAAAGAAAATGAGTTTTTAAAATCAGCAAATCATCTTGGTCAGGTGCTAGCTGAGAGAAAGATTCATTTAGTGTATGAGGAAGGCAGTCGTAGGTTAATGGGAGGTGTATCAATAGCTGCATTTTTAGGAGGTAGTCAAGTTTTGGGGGTCATTCCCAAAGCTTTAGCACAAGGGGACATTATTGGAAAAACAATTGAAGAGGAACTACAGGTCTCCACAATTAATGGTTATTATGATAAGTTGTTATCTTTTCTTGATCATGTTGTGGAACAGGAATTTCTAACATCTTTTACATGACAGATCATAATCTCTGTTGCTACTGTTGAATAATTGATTAACCAACTATAATCTTTCATTCCTATAATTGATCCCTCCATGAGTCGAATAAATTAGACAACTAAGAAAAGCTGTAAAAAGCTTAGATTGGATTTGAGCCTTTATTTATGAATTTTTGTGTCTTTTCGTTTTATTATTATGTTTTGTTATTTCTTATATTTGTTTAAGTGTGTTTTAGGTTTGTCAATATTTGTTATTTCATGTGATGTCTTCTATACTCTATCTTTATACCTAAGGATATTGAGGACAATGTCTTGTTTTATTTGGGGGGATAGGGTAGTAGTTAAAAAAAAAACTAACTAATTGTGTTTTTTATTTCATAAAACATGTGTAAAATTATTGTTAATAGGATAACATAGTAAATTAGCTCTTTTGTTAAAGTAACTCTTGAGACGCATCTTAGTAACCATTCTTAACAAGGTCTATCATAATACTTCTTGAAATATTCAAATTTACAAACTCTCGTATTGTTATCACTTAATTCTGCTCATATACTCATTTAACATGTATTCTTAAACCTTAATTTTCACACACACACGTTAACATATGATTGTGGGTTGCACATTGGATTTTTACATTATTTATGTTCTTTTATTAAAGGTAACAACTAAGGAAAATTGATAGTATATAATTTGCAAAAAGCAAAAAGATAAAAAAAAAGAGCAAAAAAAATTGATGATAATAAGCAATTAAGCTCGAAGGGGTGTTTTAACATCTAATACCCTAAAGTCAACTAACTTGGGAAACGTCATTGATAACGTCAAAATTGGAGCCAGTTGTAAACATGAAAGTTGTAGGCAATTGTCTCAGCTTTCTTGTGTAAAAACTTCAGCTCATTTGGACTTCTAGAACTCCAGATATGGCCAAAATACCGAACAGTGCTCGGGCTGGAAGACAGATTCGGGCTTCTTTGTTGTTGCTACAATTTGGACTTGATAATGGCCTTTTTAGATCTTGGGCTCCATATGAAAGTTGTAGGCCTATGTCTTACCTTTCCATCCATATAAATTGGACCTAAATCTGAGATATATAGCTCTAGATATGACCCAATTACCGAACAGTGTTCCGGTTTGGATTGCACCGACATCTCTTTTCTAAGTTTGGCCATCTCTTTATCCTTGCAATTTAAGTTCTTCAAGTCATCAATCAATCCTTTCATTTATGTGATAGGCCTGCATTTAAAATGAACATTTACCACAAATTAAAGGTATCTTATATTATTAGATATATTATTATAAAACATACTTTGGTTAAGGAGTTATTGATACTTCAAGTGCAAAATGATGATATAAAACCATGATAAAAATGCACTTTTAAGTACTAATCAACTAGTAATAAGCTGGTTGGGTTGTGTGATTAGTACTTAATAGTGCATTTTTATTGAGGTTTTATATCATCATTTTGCACATGAATTATCACTAACTCCTTAACTGAAGCATGTTTTATAATAACATATCTAATAATATAAGATACCTTTAATTTATGATAAATATTCATCTTAAATTCAAGCCTATCACATAAATGAAAGGATTGATTGATGAGTTTAAGTACTAAAATTGAAAGGACAAAGAGAGGGCCAAACTTAGAAAAAAGATGCTAGTGCATTCCAAACGGAAACATTGTTCGGTAATTGGGTCATATCTGGAGTTGTAGATCTCGGATTTAGATCCATTTTATATGGATGGAAAGGTAAGACAAAGGCCTAGAACTTTCATAAGGACTCTAAATTTAAAAAGGTTGTTTTCAAGTCCAAATTGTAGCAACAATGAAGAAGTTTGAATCTGTCCTGCAGTCCAAACACTCTTTAGTGTTCAGCCCATATCTTGAGTTCTAGAAGTCTAAATAACCTCATTTTTTTTCCTGGAAAGTTGAGACAATTTTCTAGAACTTTTATGGGTATAACGTTTCCAATTCGAACATTATCAATGATGTTTTATTAAGACAAGAAGATAAGGATTGTCACCAAGTCAAGATGTGGCCACCTATTCATCAATTATTTATCAAATCAATAGTTCCAAATTTTGGCCTATAAAAGGAGGCATTTACCATGCATTTAGGTATCTTGGTTTCCAGGTCAAGATCATGTTCTTGCTTTCTCTCTTTATATTTTTATAATGCTTAAGTCTTGTTTTCATTAATATCTTGTTTATGCCTTTCATTTCCTTTTCTTTACTTAGTTAACTTTTATCTTATTTATGTTCTTATCTTATTTATTTATATTTCTCTTTTTCATTATGTTTAGCTAAGTTTATTATGTTAAGGTGAAAAGGTTACACAAATGGTGTAAGAATAAGTATAGTGTAAACTTAACATGAACTTCAATGTTTGATTCTAACATGTTTTGTATATGTTATCTTATTCACTCTTTAATACTTTGCTTGTTAAATGACTAATCTAGATTTCTATTGTATAACACTTGATATAACAAATGCTTGGCACTTTCATAGCACAAACTATATGGTATAATGATTAATACTTAAAAGTGCATTTTTATCAAGGTTTTATATCATCATTTTGCACTTGAAGTATTAATAACTCCTTAACTAAAGCATGTTTTATAATAATATATCTAATAATATAAGATACCTTTAATTTGTGGTAAATGTTTATTTTAAATGCAGGTCTATCACATAAATGAAAGGATTGATTGATGAATTTAAGAACTGAAATTGAA